TACTGGGGATGTGCCTGCAACCAAGGTACATGCCCTTGACCGGAATTGAACCCAGGACCTTTCAGTCCACAGGCTGATGCTCTATCCACTGAGCCAAACCAGTTTCAGCCAGACTTCATTTTAGAAGAACTGATTTTATAAAGGTCAGGCAAAGGGGAGAATAAATGGAAGCTGGAAAGCTTTGGCCCAGGTGCCAAAGAAAGACAGATCCAACTGGTTAACCATGAGTAACACATGCTTCAGAGGGATTGGGGTTTTTTTTATTATAATTGGGGTTTCATGGAATCTATAACATGAGTTGCTTGCTTGTCCCTGTCTTCCTGACCAAATCACATGCATCTATCTGCTTCAGCCCAGCACTCGCCTCTGTGGTGACATTCCAACACTCCTGCTCTGGTGACATCAGAAAAGGAGAGTTGGCCAGTGTGAAGATTTTCCCCTTGGGTGAGTGCAAGGTAAAATGCAAACATCTCAGACCTCTCAGGCACATCGCTAACACAACAAAGCTGTGATGCCAGCCTGGCTTCCATCCAGCATCTCTGCAGCTGCCAACCTCTGCTTCTTATGCCCCGCCTCTCTTTGCTGCCCTGGGCAGACAGCACGCCTGCCGTGTTCATGAGGAGCCCTCTGTTAGCTATGGCCGCTGCCAGCCTATGTTTGAAAATAAGGCCCCTGGTGTTTGCCCTGCAGGACCTTCTGGTCACCAGTGCTTTTCTCTGACATCTGACCTGCTGTATTCGTTTCTTGAGGCTTTTGTAATAAAGTGCCACAAACTGGATGGGTTTTAAACAAGAGAAATATATTGCCTCACAGTTCTGGAGGCTAAACGTCTGAAATCATGATGTTGGTAGGACCGTGCTCCCTCTGAAACCTGTCGGGCAGTCCTTCGCCGACTCTTCCTGGCTTCTGGTGGTGCGGACAATCTTGGTGTTCCTGGTACAACTCCAATCTGTGCCTTCATTCCCTCTTCATCACGTCACATTCTCCCTGAACCTATCGGTCTTCATGTGGCGATATTCTAAGGACTCCTTCTAGTGTATTAGGGGCTCACCCTACTCCAGCAGGACCTCACCTTAACATCAGCAATGACCTGATGTCCAAAGAGGCCCCCATGCTGAGTGCTGTCCATTAGGGCATCGCTTGCTGGGAGGCACACAATGCAGCCCATCACCCCTGCCTCACGTGACCATGTCTCATTGCAGGGCCTCTCATGGGAAACATCCTTCAGTTTTGAAAATCACCTTTTACTTGAAAAATCAAAAGAGAAGGCTTACATTTTCCAAGTTCTGATTTTTTTTTTTTTTTTTTTTTTTTTTTTTGCCTACTCCATTTTTCCTTTGATCATAAACCTCCGGGACAGACTGTTTTGACATGAACAGAGAATGACCATTTCTCCATGGCTCCTCACAAGTTCCTGAGTCCTGGAGGTTTCCCTGGGGCATTGGTTTGAAAGGTTAGCATTTGGGTATGACCTGTACAGGGCTCTTCTTCAAAGCATACCTGTGGCAACCACTGTTCTTTCTCTGGAGCATTTGGCTTTAAGCATGTTTCTTGTCCACAGAATGGGCACCTTTTGATTTTCTCTTTCACTGCTTCTAAATATTAACATTTAATTTCTTGCCAATTCAGGGCACGTTGCATAAAGAAACAGACCGATTGCCTTTCATGAGTTAAGAACAGACTGGCCTCTCCTAGGGGTTGTAACCGACAAATCCCCAGGCCTAACTCGGCCACATTCATGGCTTCAACGCCTCATGTCTGACCTCCAAAGGACAGTTTTAGAAGATCAGGGGAAATTATACTGACATGAAGAAGATGGTTCAAATAAGAGGCAGCTTAGCCCAGGATTTAGCAGCATAGATTAAAGAGACTGATCACTTGCTGGCTGTGAACTTGGGCAAGTTATGTAAGCATCCGTTTCATTCTCTGTGAAGAGACGGCATTATAGCTGCCTTCTAAATTTGTGCGGATTGAATGGGGCTAATGCTGGACACATGGTTAGCACAGTACTTGGCTCATAGTAGGCAGCAGCCATGCTTATTGATGTAAAGAGCTCTTACTTACACATTGCTTGCTTTACTTTCTTTTCCAACTGGTTTCAGGTTCATTTTTCCTTTCCGGGCATCTGAAGGTCAGGTTTGAGAAGAGGAAAGCAACTATGTTTAAAGGATGTGGGTGGAAATCTGATTAAACATGAGGTTTCTTTTTTTTTTTTTTTAAAAAGAAAGACTTTGAGGAGTTTTCATACCATGTCCTATTCTAGCACTGACACTTTGTTTGGGTAGTAGAATTAGTGGAAATAAACTAAGTCAGATATTGTTTACTAATTTAAATGTCAGGGAATTAAGCCTGTAGTGAAGCAGGCAAGGCAAATAGTTTTGCTTGGCAAAAAAAAAAAAAAAAAAGCCAACATTCCTGAAACAATGAGCTCATCATCAAATTCTTCCACACCCATAAAAGAATCTAGAACTTGTTTGCTCACTTTTGCTTTGGTTTCCTGGGCAGCAAAGACTAAATAGAGCAGCGGTTTTTAACTATAGAATCTATTAGAATCATCTGGAAGGCTTTGTTAAAAAACAAAACAAAAAAACAGAACACAAATCCTGAGTCTTAGCCCAGAACTGTTCATTTCTAAGACTGAGATGGGGCCTGATAATTTGCATTGCTAATAAGCTCCGGGCTACTTACTGATCCAGGAACCACACTCTGAGAACCACTCTGGACTTCTGTGAGGCTCTGTGATGTGCTGTAGAGGTGGGTTCAAGTTCGGGGGGGGAGGGGGGGGGGGCTGTCCTTTCTCACAGATTGAATGTCTTCCATTTTGAAATGGAAATAATAAAATCCCCTTGTTAAGACCATCATAAGAGTTAAATAATTTGTCTATAAATCACTTTGTTCACTGCCTGGCATGTATTTGTTTAAAAGATTCTATTTCTAAGATTTTTTTTTTTTCATAGTCCATGTAAATATTTCTGAATGTTCTGGGCAACCAAGTTATTCAGATAAACAATACTGCTATTTAAATAACTGAAGCAGCTTGAAATAACTAAGATTCTACTCCAGAATGCCTGTGGCATATTTTTGCAATCTGGAGTATGTGTCTGGTGTTGTTTAGATTTTTTTCCTTTTATTTAAATGAGTGGTTCCTTCCCACTTAATTCTTACTGAGTATCAAGTTGCATAACAGATTGGGGATTTCTCTCTAATTTTGCACATTGGAATTTCAGCATACTTTGATGCGTAGGTGGTACAGGGCAGTGGAAAGGTCACGGCTAGACTGGAAACCTGAGTTTTCATAATTCATGAAATATTTAGAATTGGACACTCATTTTGTCTTTTTGCATTCAGAAACAGCAGTGTTTATCTGCATGGCACAGAATCGCCTGAGGGGCTTCTTGAATGTGTAATGCCTACCTTAACATCTCAAGTGTAAGGAATAGGATTCAGTGTGTCTGTAACAGGGCCTGTTCAGATGCATTTTAAAGAAGCACTCCAGGCCAGATTTCAAGAAAGGATAGGAATGGGCTGTAATGGTGAAGACCACATTCAAATTCAGGTGCTGCTACTTACCTAGTTGTGTGGACTTGAGCAAATTCTCCACCTTCTGAAATCCTGCTGTCTTATATGTGAAATGCGTCACTTTTACTCATTCATCAGGACTGTGATGCCAGTTATAGTTAATGCATAGAAAGCGCCTTGAATAGTGCTGGGCATGAGGCACCCAAATGCTGCAATATTGTGGTGGTTCTTCTAAAATGCCACACATGGAAGGTGGGCAAATAGATAAATACAAAGTTCATAGAAGGGTAGAATTGAAATGAGGCCATTTGGCTCTGGGAATCCATAATATATTTCGTAAGCCCCAGAGAAAGAGAATTCTTCCATGATTATGTAGATGTGACTGGCTTCTTACAGTGCCTTTAGAACAGGCACATTCACATCTAGTTTCTGATTCATTCGAATTACTTTTTTAGAATCAAAACTTTTATTTTGGATACTTTAAGGTTAAGTGATATTTGGTTGTACTGAAACAAATTACTCAATCTAATCTATTAAATTACTATCAAATTTTACTGTGCCAGAACATTAATTTTCCATCACTTTAATGTGACAAGATAATGTCTTTTCATTAAAATACTAAACACTTCAGGAGAGCCTAGATAATGCCATAGCAACAGAGCTACTATTATTCATTAACAGGATAGGAAATCAGTTTAGGGAAAAAGCATTATTACTGTAAAGATAAGTTTTTATTCAAAAAGTTAAAAAAATACCATTTAAGAGCATATTTACTTGGATTTTTCTGAACGTCTTAATGGCTCTTCTACGTCTCTTGAGCAGGTTTAAGATATTTTATCCTTTCTACAGGATGATCTTTCCCAGCTTCCTGACACAGTTCTGATTTGTATTTAGAGTTGGTATCATGGCAGTTTTCATTTCCATGCTATTACTGAAGATCTGTGTCAGTGGAACTTTCTGAAGAGAATTTATAAGCCACAATTGCACATCCATTAAACAAAGCTCAACAACAGGCAGTCCTAATGGGGTTTTCATTTATGGATCCCTTAGTGCAGAGTTCCCCAAGGACAATGGTCAATATTAATTCAAACAATTGAAGTCTGCAAACCTCAATTACTTCTGTGTGGGATGCAGGGAAATGCTTTGAATTATCACTTGAAAACAAAGAGAATGTAGGAAATTTCCACTTTTTCTTTGCTATGATGCAGATGCCACTTTAAAATAAATACTCTTCAGAGTTCCAGGGTTCATACTATTTATATTTCTAATTTGTTACACTAGAGGGGGAAAGGAGAGGCCTCATAACCCATGGGGTAGCCATCATATTGCCTGCATTTCTCTTGAGTCATTCCTGAAGGCAGAGGAAGGTGTGCAAATTCTGGGCTTGTTCTTTTTACAAGAGATGGATGGGGAAATGCATGTGTAATGTAAACAAAAGTGTCATTTTTGAACTGGTGGGACTTTCAAATATTTCCTTCCAGGTGGGACACCGTGGAACGGTGCGTGATTATCCAGGCTTTAGCCCGTCAGTGGATGCTGAAGCGATTCGAAAGGCAATTCGAGGAATTGGTGAGTGGTGCTTTATAATTCCTCTCTTCATGTTGAAGCAAATTAGATTGTATTTTACAATCCAAAAGTGAAATGGTTCAGTTTGCCCAAGTTGGCTTACTCAGGTAGAGAAATTGTGAAATACCTTAAAATTGTGAAATAATGAGGCAAAGTATAGGGCACCCAGTTTTGTTAAATCTCAAAATTTGCCCTATTTACTTAATATTAAATACTTCCATCATCATCACTGCTACCAGCAACAGTAATTATCATCAACATTATAACTCATCACAAATACAGTCCCTGCCAATCCTTCTAGGGCCTCATTCCCTAGAGATAAACATTATCTTAAATTAGAGTTGATTCCCTTGTCATTTTGTAAAATCATTTTGTTTTGTATGGTCTCAAACAATATAAATTGAAATCATACTGCATAAATTCTTCTGTAACTTTTTATCCCTTAACATTATGTTTTTGAGATTTATCCATGTTGATATGTTTAGCTCTAGTTCATTAATATTAACTGCATAGCAGTTATTAGATTACTATATTGTAAGATGGGGATATTAATGGAATAGTTAAGTTGCCTATAATTCTTTTCTATTACAACATAAAAATACCACATTAAATATTCCTGCTTCTGTCTCATGTGCACACTTGCTAACATTTCTGTAGAACAAAACAATTAGAATTCCTAAGTTGAAGATGTTTATCTTCAAATTAAAATTATTTCAAACTACTCATTGGAATTATTATACAAAATACTAGCATTCGTAGCAGGAATACATGAGATTTCCTCTTGCTCCATATTCTTATCAATAAATCCTAAGGTCATACTATTGCATATTTCCAATTGAGTGAGATGAAAATGATGCCTCATTTGACCTTGTGGCTGGGTAGCTCAGTTGGTTAGAGAATTATCCTGACATGCCAAGATTCTGGGTTCCATCCCCAGTCAGAGCACATACAAGAATCAACCAATGAATGCATATATAAATGGAATAACAAATCTATGTCTGTCTGTCTGTCTGTCTGTCTGTCTGTCTCTCTCTCTCTCTCAAAATTAAAAAGTAAAAGAATTTAAAATTGGACCTCATTCTGAATGTGTGTTTGTTTCCTCTCTTCTCCACATTCCTATGACCAAATAATCATTTCTGGATTATTTGCTTCTTCTTCCATGATTGACTTATTCATATCTTTTATCTGGTTTTTAGTTGGATTGCCTTCTTCATGATTGCCAGGATTTTTGTTATAAATTTTGGATATTAAACTTTTTAAAAAAATTACAGGCCATGAAAATATCTTCTTCTAATTTGTGGTTTTCTTCTAACATTGGTTATAGCAAATTTTATTGCACGTTTATAAGTCTGAAATGGTTCAGAGAGGGATATACATGTTTTCTAGACAGAGATTTGGGTCCAGGTTTCTGCTGCCCCAATGATCAAGATTGTTGCTCCCTGGAGGAATCAAATTCTCTCACAGGAAACAGACCCATGTTAGCCTCCCATGACATTAAATCTTGTCCCTCTGGCAGTAGCTGTGATCCTTCTGTGTAGTCAGTCATATGCCTGTGTAGTCAGGCTTCATAAAATATCTGAGCTAGAACCTAATGACCTGCTGTACATGTAAAGGAGTGTAACCTTCATCCTAAAGGTTGCAGAGAGTATTATGATTTCAAGCAAGAGATTAATATGATCAGATGCATGTTTAGGCAGTGATATACAGTATGAATTACAAGGAGGTCAAGATAGGAGGCTGTTGAAGTTTCTGAGTAATATATGATGAGCACAGTGTGTGATCAGACTGGCAGCAGAAGAGATTGGGGGCAATCAAGAAGGCAAGCAGGTGACCAGTTGGGAGCCAGTAGTCCTGGATTGTGAAGGGATGTCTGACTGCCCAATCTTACCGGGCAGTTGGACATCCCTTTAGGGGTCCCAGATTGGAGATGGTGCAGGCTGAGCTGAGGGATTACCACCCCCCACATGAATTTAGTGCACTGGGCCTCTAATATATATATCTTCACTGAGTGGCCAGATTACTATGTGTTCAGAGATCATAATAATCTGGCCACTCAGTGTATATATTTTGGAGTCAGAAATTTGGGTTCAAATTCTTGTTCACCACTTAAAAGCTGCATGACTCTGGCAAGTGAGGTAAGTTTTCTAAGCGTTAGTATTTCATCTTTAGGACAGTTTAATCACACTTATTTCTAGGGCCCTCCTGAATATTAAATATGACAGTAATTATTAGTAAAAGGTGTCTAGTACATGGTGGGTTCTCAGTAAGTGCCAGTTTCTTTTTTTAGAGGAAAGAAGATTTTGATATCAAGTCAAGAGATAAGAAAGAGAAAAGGTCAGGATAGTAACTGAACCTCATATGGTTAAAACATCTGGTCCAAAAGCAGTATGTCCCTTGTGCTGCTCCCTATATCAGAGAAATATTTAGTCAGTGATTGTTTTCTTCCCCAAAACTATACAAATAAAGTTAATTTCCTTTTCTAAAAGTCAGGCAAACAAAGAAATAAAGATTTCAACTTGGAAATTAAAAATTTAAATGCCCCCCTTACTGGTGTGGCTCAGTTGGTTGAGTTCATCCCATGCACCAAGAGTTTACCAGTTCAATTCCAGGTCAGGGCACATGTCTGGGGTTAGGGTTAGTTAGTGTGTTAAGAGTTTCAGGCTCTATAGCCAATAGCGGGCATGCAAGAGGCAACTGTTTCTCTCTTCTCCTCTTCCTTCCTGCCTCTCTCTAAAATCAATAAAAACATATTCTTGTGTACCCAATTTTATTCGGGTTAGAGCATCAGCTCGTGGACTGAAGGGTCTTAGGTTTGACACTAGTCAAGGGCATGACCTAGGTAGCAAGTTCAACCCCTGCATGTGCAGGAGGCAACCAATGGATGCATCTCTCACATCAATGTTTCTCCCTCTGTTTCTTCACTCGATTCCATTCTAAAAAATAAAATTAAAAAATAAAAAAAAGGAAAAAATATCTTTCGGTGAGGATTAACAACAAAAAATTCTTTAAAACGAATAATAATAAAAATTAAAATGCCTTCCTGTCTGCATTTGTTTCAGACCATCAATCATTTTCTTTTGTTCGTGACAGGTACTAAGGATCTTTAAATTAATAGTAAGTAACATTATTTTCATTTCATTTAGGAACTGATGAGAAAACGCTTATCAGCATTCTGACTGAGAGGTCGAATGCACAGCGGCAGCTGATCGTTAAGGAATATCAAGCAGCATATGAAAAGGTACAATTGATTAACATGGGCAAAATCCAGGTGGGGACATTTAAGTAACAGAAAAAGTTCCAATATGACAGCAATATAGAAAGTCAAAGATATGGGTGTAAGAGGAAGGAGATGAGGTTAGAGAGAGTTTTAGAACATTTATGTTTTCATCTATATTGTTACATATGTTCACCTTTCACTAGGTAACTTAGAGAAAGAAAAAAGAAGAGTATGTTACACTTATCATTTTTATTTATTTATTTTATTTTAGAAACTGAAAGATGACCTAAAGAGTGATCTCTCTGGCCACTTCGAGCACCTCATGGTGGCCCTCGTGACTCCTCCAGCTATGTTTGATGCCAAGCAGCTAAAGAAATCCATGAAGGTATGAGCCCTGCACGAGTCACTTTTGCCCAGGATTTGATTATGTCATCAAAAATGGTGACTTTCTTCCTGTGCACAGTTGAGATATAGTGTAAATTTGATAGATTTGGGTGTCATTTTGATTCTGTACTCTCCAGCTGGTAGAGCAACCCCTGAAATGGGAAGCAGTTGTAGAACTTTGAACCCAGGTGATCCTGGGCTGAAAGGATATTGTCATTCTAATTTGTTTGTTTTTTGACCTGAAGAGTCAAATTCTCTATTTTATTGTTATTCAAAATGAATGGTACCACCATCAACCCCACTGGTTTAGGTCAGTGGTCGGCAAACCATTGCTCACTAGCCACATGCTCTTTGGCCCCATGAGTGTGGCTCTTCCACAAAATACCATGGCCTGAGTGAGTCTATTTTGAAGAAGTGGCATTAGAAAAAGTTTAAGTTTAAAAAATGTGGCTCTCAAAAGAAATTCCAATCGTCGTACTGTTGATATTTGGCTCTGTTGACTAATGTGTTTGCCAACCACTGGGTTAGGCCAAAGACCTAGTGTTATCTTTGATCCCATGCTTTCCCTCTTCCTTCAGAGCTCCCAAATTTATCTGGAGGTCCATCAGATCTATTCCAAGCTTTATAAAATATGAGAGCACATCTCTCAAAATCCATTGCTAATATTCTAGTTCATCACATCATCTTTTGTCTGGACCATACCAATGGCCTCCTAATTGGTCCCTTTGCCTCTGTTTTTACACATCTCACATTTATTCACACAGAATAGCCAAAATTATTTTTATAAAGTTTCTAGTTCGATTATATTATTCAGCTGCATAAGTTGCCAATGAATTTAAATACTTAAAATTTAAACTCCTTACTATGACCTTCATTATCCAGCACAGTCTGGCTCCTGTCTATCTCTGTGTCTTTTTAAATTTCTATCTGTTATCAGTCAGGGTTCCCCAGAGAGGCAGAACCAGTAGGCAGGAGATTTATTAAGAGATGTATTACAAGGACATGGTTACACGGTTATGGCTAGGCAAATCTAAAATCTCAAGGGCAGGCTTGAACTCTTAGCACCACCTTGAGCTGCTGCCCACGGGTAGAATTTTTTCTTCAGAGAAGCCTCAGGTCTGCTCATACCGTCTTTCAACCGACTAATTAGTCCCACATAAAATATCTAAGATAATCTCCCTTATTTAAAGTCAACTGATAATGGACTTCAGTTATATCTACAAAACTCCTTTAGAGCAAACCTAATTAGTGTTTGGTTAAATAACTGAGGTATGTAGCCTGGCCAAGTTGAAATGTAAAACCATCACACCCTCTCCTGACCATCCCAGTCCAACAAAGATCCAGTTTTAGTCCAGCCGTTATGTCTTCATCCAAGCTAAAAAGAGTTAAGGGACAAAGAAGGGTTCATCCCGGATCCTTGAGGACTGGCAGAAAATGTTTGGGGAACTTCACATACATCCCATTGATGAGAGTAAAGTTAGTTGGAGAAACCTCACTCTAAGGGAAGCTGAGACACATGGTATGTATTTATTTGGGTAACTATGTGCTAAGTAAAAAAAAAATTAGGCGCTCTATTACTAAGCAATGAAGATAAAAGATATATTGGGCCCACTCAGTTTTGCTGTGAACCTAAAAGTGCTCTAAAAATTCATGTATTTAAAATTTTTAAATTAATAATTTTTTAAAATATATTTTATTGATTTTTTTTTGCCACCCTCCCTCCCAAACATACTCTCCCTCCCCAGAGTTTTACGTCCATTGGTTGTACTTATATGCATGTATACAAGTCCTTCGGTTGATCTATTATCTCCCCCAGATCTTCCTCCCCTCTCCACTGTAATTTGACAGTCTGCTTGTTGCTTTACTGTCTCTATATCTATCTTTTGGTTCATCAGTTTATAATGATCTTTATTATCCATAAATGAGTGAGGTCATGTGGTGTTTCTCTTTCATTGATTGGCTTATTTCACTCAGCATGATGTTCTCCAATTCCATCCAGGTTGTTGCAAATGATGAGAATTCCTTCTTTTTTATGGCAGCATAGTATTCCATTGTGTAGATGTACCATAGTTTTTGGATCCAATCATCTGCTGACAGGCACCTAGGCTATTTCCAAATTCTAGCTATTGTAGATTGTACTGCTATGAACATGACTTAAACATCAGACGGGAAACCATAAAAATACTAAAAGCATCCGCAGGCAGCAAAATCTCAGACGTATGCCAAAAGAACTTCTTCACTGATACTGCCCCTAGGGCAATGGAAGCTAAAGAGAAAATAAACAAATGGGTCTACATCAAAATAAAAAGCTTTTTACAGCAAAAGAAACCATCAACAAAACAACAAGAAAGCCCACGGTGTGGGACAACATATTTGCAAATAATACCACTGATTAAGGCTTAATCTCCAACATTTACAGACAGCTTATACAACTAAATAAAAGGAAGATGAATGATCCAATTAAAAAATGGGCAAGGGACCTAAATAGAATATTTTCAAAAGAAGACAGAAGGAAGGCCAAAAGGCACATGAAAACATGCTCTAAGTCACTAATTGTCTGAGAGATGCAAATCAAAACAACAATGCAGTACCATCTCACACCTGTCAGAATGGCCAACATCAACAAATCAACAAACGACAAGTGTTGGCGAGGTTGCGGAGAAAAAGGAACCCTCGTGCACTGCTGGTGGGAATGCAGACTGGTGCAACCACTGTGGAGAACAGTGTGGAGTTTCCTCAAAAAACTGAAAATGGAACTCCCATTTGACCCAGTAATCCCACTTCTAAGAATATATCCCAAGAAACTAGAAACACGAATTAAATTAATAATTTTTAAAGGCAAGATATGGGGGCAAGTGGGACTCTGCCATGGAGGGACAAGAATTCAGCTTCTGTTTCCATGCTGCATTGGTGTTTGTTTGTTTTTTAAAAAGTATATTTATATTGATTTCAGAGAGGAAGGGAGAGGGAGAGATAGAAACATCAATGATGAGAGAGAATCATTGGTTGGCTGCCTCCTGCATGCCCCACTTCCCACGAAACCTGGGCATGTGCCATTACCAGGAATCCAACCGTGACCTCCTGGTCCATAGTTTGACGTTCAACCGCAGAGCCACGCCAGCCAGGCCACTGGTCTTATTTTTATCAAATCCTAGTGTAAGTGGCTTCTTTTGAGTCACAGAGTGATTCAGTGATCTCAATATAGACCAAGGCTCAGGTGTAACTAATCCTTAAACGAAGTGGGCCCATTATACATTATTGAGGCTTTCAAATCTCCCTGAATGAAGAGGGTGATACATGCTGACCAACCTAGTACATCAGTGTAGTACATCATTCAAAAGAATTGCAGAGCCCTTCCTAAATACAAAAGTGTGTTTAAATGCTCACTTCTGATCTCAAATGACGTAGGCTCTTCCCTTTCTACTATTTCTTTCTAAAAGTATTCAATTGATTTTTGTATCAGAGTGTGAAATTTTGGGGGGAAATTTGATGTCAGTTAACTCTACATGATTCATATTATTTAAGACTAAAATAGGGAATATCAGAAAACTGTTTTAGATCCATAAAGATCCTTGTGTTGATTTATTCAAAACTGTTCTTTGCATTCATATAAAACAAGATATTAAGACTGAAATGCATGAATTTAAGTTTTTTAAGTGCTCTAAAAACAGATTCCCTTTTTTAGGGCACCGGAACAGATGAAGATGCATTGATTGAAATCTTAGCCACCAGGACAAGCCGGCAGATGAAGGAGATCTCTCAGGCCTACTACACAGGTCATCCTCTTCCCTGCTTTCCTTTACCACCATCCACACGTATATGAGCCATTGTTGCCTCTCCCAGAAACCCACCCATCTCTCCTTCACAAGGCTTTTGAGAAGGCAAGACATCAAAAAGAGGCTCCGTTCTAAAATGGGCTAAGATCTGTGGGATTTTCAGAGAAAACTGAATATGATTGAGCTAGAAACTGCTGCACAGTGCTGGCATTAACACTTTTCCTTTTGCTCTCAGCGATCGCCGCTTAATTGAATCAGCTAATTTCATCAATGTAAGAGACTCAAATCATTGTATGTTAACATTATATGTTAAAAGCCACTTAGATCAGCCTCATGACTTTTGGTGGGAAATTAGATGAACCATTTAGAGAGCATGTTCAGCAATTAGCTGAAGTCCTAATAGCCTGTCAGCTATATAACACTGACAACCCAGGGTTAGTGTGACTTCACAAGGTAGAAGCACAGGCCCAAGCAGGCCCCCCTGACTTTGGAAATGAGCTACGAGTTCAAGTGTTCCCAGGCCACATGCACTTCTAACCAAATGGCTACAAATTAAGGGCTTCACACTCTTCCCTCAGGTGCGATAGCTCACTGGAATGACTGATAGAACTCAAGAAAGTGCTCTCTGCACAAGTAGGGGTTTACTATAAAGAATACAAATCAGGATTGCTCCAAGGAAGAGATGCATAGGAAGGGAGAGGCTTGGGAGGGTCCCGAATGTACAGCTTCCGTGTCCTCGGGATGCACGGCCCTCCCAGCAAATCGATGTATAATTACCAACCAGGGAAGCTCACTCGAGCTTGGATTCCACAGTCTTTATTGGGGTTTCATTACACAGGCATGATTGATTGGACCACTGGTCACATGATTAAACTCATCTCCAGTGCTCCTCTCCCCAGAGGTCAGGCCGATCTTATGCGGCTCAGACCCTGAATCCTCCAATCACATGGTTCGTCTTTCTGGTGTGACCAGCCCCTCATCACTCAGATCCTGAGTCATCTTGTCAGCAAATACTCAAGTGTGGCTCATGGGACCTGCCAGGAACAACAAAGACATTTCTATTATTTAGTAATTTCCAAGGACTTAGAGGTGACTTACCAGGAACCAGGGACAAATACCAGCATTCGTCTGTATTATCCAATAGAACAGCCTCTGTAAACCTCACCAAGAACCTCATGGTTTCTGAGTTTGTGTGTCAGGAAGCCTCTGCAGGGGGGAGGAGGGGAGGTCTCAATAAGGGCCATCCTGTCCCCCTGGTGGGGGTTAGATAGGCCACTTTGAGAAATTCTCATTAGAAGGTAAGTATGATACCTCAGTGGTAGGTCAGTGACTGTTTCATTGCTGAAGTGTTAATTAAGGTCTAGTGAGAAAAACAGAAATGGCAGTCGGTATTTTAACAGAGAGAATTTGATGTAGAGGATTGTTTGAACACCTTTGGAAGGACTGAAAAATCGAGAAGGGCACATAGGTGTGGCACAGAGGTATAACTCCCAGGGCTGGGATGACAAGATTGGGGTTTTCAGATGCGAGAATCTCAGAGGAGAGACACTGACTTGCAGGTGTTGATACCTCAGGGGCTGGGAGGAGAGGCTTAAGGAGCTGGAGTCCAGACTCTGCCAAAGCTTCCATCTGGCTGGAGCTGGATCCCCAGGGGGGTGCTAAGCGACTTGTCCTAGTAGTGGGGACAGCTGCTGCTGTCAGGGAGAAAGTCCTTCATGGAGTTGCCATTGACCTGAATGGCAAGCAAATAGCATGTTCTTCTTTCCTCCTCCTGCCTTCCCGTCTCCCTCTGGTGCCCCCCTCTGTCCCCGAATTGGTGGACCCTAACGGGTGTTTGAGGTGGGTCCAAAAGAGAAATGTAATTTGTAGAGTCCCAAACCCAGCTCCACAAAGCAGGGTATAGAAAGGTAAATTTGGAGTAGACGAGATCTTTGCTAAATGGGCAAAGTGGGTACATTGTAAGTGTTTAAAAAAAAAAATCAGTTCCATTAGTTCCACATATACCAGTAATTTGGTTCCATTAGTTTATTTACGTGTATATATATTAAAAAAAATCATCAGAGCCAGGTTCCCTGCTGCTTCCTGGTGTTTTTTTAGAAAAGTCACTGCTCTATGAGGTGACCTGCCACAGGATGTATGGAGCCCAGCACTTACTCACAAACAGCCCTGGGATGTATGCTCTGTGGAGATGGGCCTTTTGTCTGTTTCGTTCACTGCTGTAGCTCCAGTGCTCAGATCAGCAGAAGGCAAATTCAAATATTTATTTAATGAATATCATCAAGATCCAGTTTGGGATCTTAAGAGCCAAGAGACATAACTAGCATTTAGGACTGTGGTTTTGTATGTATGACAAGCGACAATAGTTCCAACCACCAGATGCCGTGATACCTGGGTGAGCTGAAGCTCTCTAAGGCTAAAAGAAATGGAATTGTATGTAGATCACGGTGAGTAGGGGTTAATGATACACAAAATGTAAAGAGAGGAAACTGTCTCAATTAGGTACAGCCAAGCTTTACAGAGACTCAGGACCCAGCAGCCCTGCTCCAGGGACTCAGCTCCCGTGTCACTCCCTCAGCATCAGGCCTGCATTGCGCCTCGTGCTGACGTTTCCATTACAGCAGCTTTCTCCTCCCTCACTGCTCCTGCTGTTTTTGACACTGCCGAATAACTTCTCTTCCCTGGTCATACAGTGTCTGTCTACTCAGGGCTTCTATTTGCCCTTGGTTTCTGGTTATGCTTGGCCTCTGTTTTGTGCCTTATTCCTGGGAGTCTTCTCACTCTTCTGCTACTCTGTTGTCTCTGCCTCCTTTCCCTGGACAGCTCACTCCCTGAGGGAGAACATTCAATGGGCTCAGGAAGGCACTTGCTCGTGAACAACGCTCTCCTACCTGGTCACCTCCTAGGTTGCTGGCCACCTGGAGTCAGATGCCAACCCTGATGCAGTCCAGCTGCAGCAAGAACAGTGGTGCCACGAAATGTGAAATGGTGACCAAGGCATGAGAAATCTATTCAGGGGGGCTAGCTACTTGGCCCTCATAAAGGGACTAGGCATTGTATTTCCTATTCTTACTTCTTGAAAAATATCTGAGGTCAAGGGAGGTATGGGCAGGCTACATAAAATGACTATAAGGCCTCATCTAGATTATTCTAAAATGTAAAATACTTCCTCAAATTTTAATAAAGTGAGAGCTTTATTCTTTGGCTTGATATTTTTAAATAATTATTTTTTTTCTAATTGAAGTGAAGAACAGACACAGTGATACCATGACTGCTAGGTAAAATGGTGCCTACCTAATGTTATTATTACTTAGATAATTTATAGTGAATTTTGCATCTTTGCATTGCTCTGAAAAAATTTAGATTTCATAAAAAGAGACTAAAGCATGCTGGAAGAGTTTCTATCTCTACACAGTTTTTGCTACTAGATAACCTCATATCACTTTCTATAATAGTCTTTTATTGATTTAAAAGAACAAGTATTCATGTGACTAGTTTATAGACCCTTAAAAGTGATGCAGGCAGAGTTCAAATGGCCACTGGGTGTCAGCTACACCCAGGCACATGACTTCGAGAGGATCAGTGAGGCGTGGATGGAGCAGAGCAGGGCCTTAAACTCAGTGCACACTACAAAAGGAGCTACAGCTGGTCAGCTCTGAAACGGGAACATGCAGTTGTCATTTGTTATGGAAAATTAGTATCTTTTAGGGTAGGTTTCTTTTGAGAGCTATCAAGTAATACGTTCTAGCTCTATGTACCCATAAAACAAATATTACAGTGGCTCAGCTAAGATCTAAGTGTATTTCTCCCACATGTAGACGGGGTCTGGAGACAGGCAATTCTAGGACTGGCATGAGAGCTCCTCAGAACTTTTAGGAGTGCAGGCCCCTTCCTGCTTACATTTCTGCCATCATTTAGATGTAGTCCTTATCCTCATAGTCCAGGATGGCTCCCTGAGCTCCAGGTATGCTCCAGATATGCCTCTACAGACCAGGCATGAGGGTGGAGGAAGGGACTAAGATGGGCGTGAGCCATCCCGTATGGAGATTTCTCAGCAATGCCGCATTTGTCTGCCTACATTCCACTGACAAGAACTTAGTCATGGAGCTGCACCTCGCTAAGAGGAGAGCTGAGAATGTAGTCTTTACGCTGCGGGCATTATGACTTGCTCAAGATGAGGGTTCTATTGCTACGGTAGAAAGAGAATAGAAACTGGAAGGCAGACTAGCAGATAGCCCACTCAAACTGCCCACTGTACATGTGTTCCTGGGCCATTGTCAGTTGAAGCGGACGATGCTTTGATCCAGAATGGCTATTCTTTCTGTCCCTGAGCATCTACCACAACACATACTATGGTAATAGTTACAACAGGGTATCTATTCTCAGAAGAACCCAGGAAATAGAAAGAAAAAAAAAGAAGAGCAAGGTTTATTTTATCATTTTATTAGGTATTCGTTTCTCCGTTTTATAATAATATTTTCCAGTTTGTCAAGGCTTAACTCCATTCTTGTGTGGTTTCAGTGTATAAGAAGAGTCTTGGAGATGACATCAGCTCTGAAACATCTGGTGACTTCCGGAAAGCTCTGTTGACTTTGGCAGATGTAAGGTTTATCATTTACTTTTTTAATTCCTTAATTATCTGCATGCTCAGTAATAATTATTAGGGGGTTTAAAAATAACCAAAGAGAGACAATGAGCTTGCAGTTTTCCTTATGAAATGATTCACTCACTTCGTGTTTGCATTGCCACAGAGCAGTATAATGTTTAACCACCATCAGAAAAGTATAGCATCATCATGTAACAGAAAAATCTTCTGATGGTCAGTATATGGATTGAAAGTGTTTAGATCAGGTTTCACAATACATTAGAAATGTTCTGTTAATTCCTCTGACATAAAATAATTGTCCATTTCTATTTTAAGTATCTCCATTTTAAGGACATGCTTATTTTTATCTGTACTCCAAAGAATAACTATTCCTTTTGTTAGCATTAAAATTAAATAAGAAACATAATACAGACAAATTATGAGATGGGTATATTAGCCTCAGGATTAAAAAAAAACAAACAAAAAAAAAAAACTTGTAGCTACTTCATTCTTATGCCTTTAGAAGAGTTGCTAAATCACTCATCACCATGTGACTAAATGATGCCACACTTCGCTGTCTTTTTAGGAGGCTCATGACTTTATAATAAAGGTGGGCAGTGTCGAGGATGAGCTGTAATCCCAGGTGTGGGTAAGAGAGGAAATAAGCCCGTCCCACTGGTCTCTTTCGGCTGATTTGCACAGCCTGTAACGTGTCAGAGAACCCCACCAGTGGTCTCAGCCTGAGGACTGAAGCACACCTGTCAAACAAAGTGAGGCATATGCCACTAAGAAACAAGTTACCCTCATTTTCGTTTCAGTTATTTCAAATGGTGAAAGCCTTAGGAGGGAACCCAATTTATGGGGCATTGCTGCAAACATACACTCCAAGAGGCTTATATTCAAAAGTACACGTCTATGTGAGTGCAAGGCATACTCACAGGAGGCAGCAAACATTAGGGCTTCCGGGCAGGGTTTCAGAATCAGGCAGACCTGGAATGGTATGATCCTCTGTTGCTTTACTAACTTTACTAGTATGTGTCTGGACACATTACTTTAAGCCTCAAAGCCCTTGTTTTCACATGTGTGAAATTAAAGTAATAACAGTACTAACGTCATAGATGCTGCAAAGATAGATAGAAAGATAGATAGATAGATAGATAGATAGATAGATAGATAGATAGATGATATGAAGTACTCAGCATGTAGAAAATGCCCAGTACATGGAAGTGGTGGCTGATTATTAATATGCTGATAATCAGCATTTTTATGACTAGAGCAGAGTATACAATGAGAAAACAAGAATGCAAACAAAGTAACAGTAGAGAATCAGCAGCACTGAAAAGCAAATAAATCATGCAAAAATCAGACAGGCATATGAGGATCTATTCAAAAATGCTTTTTGAATATTATAGCCAGTATTTCATTCACCTATCATTTTCAGAGTAATTCAGGCAATCCTCTTTCCCTCTATGAGCTAAAGTGCTTGCACATGAGCACACACTTAGCCACAGAGGCTTCAACAGCAGAGCTGAGGAGACCTTTGAACTGTATTTTTGTTGTTGTTTGTTTGTTTTAATTAGACTTTATTTTTTAGAGAAGTTTTAGATTTACAGAAAATTTGAGCAGAAAGTACAGAGATCCCATATGCCCCTCCTCCCATCCCCTCACTATTTCTCCTATTTTTAACATATTGCATTAAAGTGGTACATTTGTTACAGTTGATGAATACTGATACATTATTATTATTAACTAAAGTCCGTAGTGTACAATAGGGTTTACTCTTTGTGTTACACAGCCTATGAGTTTTGACAAATGTCATGTGTCCATTAGTACAGTATCATTCAGAATAGCTTTACTGCCCTAGAAATATTCTGTGCTCCAACTATTCATCTCTCTCTTCCTCCCTCACAACAACTGGACTTTGTACTGTCTCTATGGTTTTGCCTTTTCTAGACTGTCATATAGTTGGAATTATACGGTGGGTAGTCTTTTCAAACCTGCCCTTAGTAACATGCTAAGTGCCTTTTCTTTTTTTTTTTCTTCTTTTTTTATTGATTTTTTACAGAGAGGAAGAGAGAGGGACAGAGAGTCAGAAACATCGATGAGAGAGAGTCATTGATCAGCTGCCTCTTGCACATCCCCTACTGGGGACGTGCCCACAACCAAGATACATGCCTTTGACCGGAATCGAACCTGTGACCCTTCAGTCTGCAGGCCTGAGCCAAACCAGTTTCAACCTAAGTGTCTTTTCTTGGCTTGATAGCTCATTTCCTTTTTATCGCAAATATTATTCCAATATATGGGTATACTGTAGTAGTATGTCTCACCTGTTGAAGGGCCTCTTGGTTGCTTGCAAGTCTGGGTGATGATGAATAGAAATTTCTGTGAACATTCATGTGCAAGTTTTTATGTAAATATAAATGTTCAACTCCTTTGGGTAAATACCGAGGAGTAGGAGTATGTTTAGTTTTGTTAAACTGCCAATCGGTGTGGCTGTACCATTTTGTATTCCCACCAGCAAAGAATGAGAGTTCCTGTTGCTGCAATCCTGGCCAGCAATAAGGTGTTATCGGTGTTTTGGATTCTAGCCATTCTAATAAGTGGTATCTTATTGTTTTAATTTTCAACTCCCTAATGATAGTTGATGTTGAGCATCTTTTCATGTGCTTTTTTTTTTTTTTTTTTTTTTTCCATCTGTGCATTCGAGGGTGCTCAGATCTTTTGCCCATTTTTCAGTTGGGTTGTTTGTTATCCTATTGTTGAATGTTAAGTATTCTTTATATGTTTGGGATATAAGTCCTATATCAGATATGAGTTTGCTAACAATATTTTCTCCCAGTCTGTGGCTTGTCTTTTCATTCCCTTATGATTTTTGAATTTTCAGAGTAGGACACTAAAGCTCAGAAAGTTGTATGATTTTGCTACAAATTTCGTGGCTAGTCAGTGACAGAGCAGGAGCCCAGGCCCTCTGTGAACCTCTCAGACACCCTGCTGATGGGACTACCAAGCGTTAGCATCCTCTGACTTTACAAGGGTTGCCCCTGCTCTTATCTTCCTTGTTTAGGGCAGAAGAGATGAAAGTCTGAAAGTGGATGAACAGCTGGCCAAAAAGGATGCCCAGGTCAGTAACAGAGCAAAGAAAACATCTCCTTTACTACCTGCCCCCCAACACTCCACTGCCCATCCACCTTTTCATTTCCACCTTTTCACAGCTGGGGCTGTGGTGTTCTGTCCTGTCTGAGGAGAAGGCTGAGGATCAGCCTTCCCCAGGAGGGTTATTATTCCCCCAGCCCCTGCAGCCATCCCCACCTCTCAGATTTCTAGTCTGCTCAATGTGAGAAATCTGAATAATCATCTCGCTGACTCTACAACAAAGTAAACCTCCTCTCCTTCCAACCCTTCAAAAAGAGACAAGAGGACTGTGACCATAAGAACATTTAAGTCTCCCCGCCTTGTCCCGCAGATTCTCTACAATGCCGGTGAGAAGAAGTGGGGCACAGACGAAGATGCGTTCACAGAGATCCTGTGTCTAAGGAGCTTTCCCCAGCTGAAACGAAGTAAGGATTCTCGCTGCAATCCTTTTGGCTCTGTGTTGCTTTGCAAATATTTTTTGCATTTAATATACAAAAGTCTGGAAAACGAAGTTAAAAATTGCCAAGGTGGTTCCATTTTTATGTATCAACAATTCAGGAGATAACAAGTCAGGGCAGAACTGACATGACTCTTGTTCCCCTAGAGGCTGAGTAGACACCTAGTGACAGGTAACAAGCAGATGGGGAGGGATGGCAGGAGGAGAAAAGGGGCCGCCCTCTGGGGTGAGAGCAGAGAGTGTTCCTGTGGATGCAGGACCCTGGCTGCATTGCTTTCACCCCAATACTTCTGTAGTTAGGCATTTTCCAGAAATACCAGGTGCTGTGGTGTCTCTGTTAATGCGTTAGCATGGATTACCGTGCACCTCTCTCTGAAATGAAGGTAAGTTGGGGGGCCCTCTTTATCAGGACAACTATTATATGGAATTGCTGAGCATCCACCCTCTCACTCGTGCATCCCCCTGAGCCATTCTGGAAGCCGAGAAGCCCATGTCCTGTGAGCGCCTCCTGTGGCTTCCAGCTGCAGAGCAAGAGAACAGTGGTAGTCTCAGTGCATGACCAGGCTTTTGCTGAGTCATGGGGAAATGAGAAAATACGAAGACAGTACCAGGATTTTTTAATTCTGAAGTTGCCCTTCCTTAAGTTTGGCATCAGAATTTCACTTATAAAATAATGGTAATTGTATTTCATGGTTGCTTTATTAACATCTTTATTTTATTTATTTAACCTTCACTCAAGGATATTTTTCCATTGATTTTTAGAGAGAATACAATAGGGAAATCAGTGAAATATCGACATGAGAGAAACATATCGATTGGTTGCCTCTTGCATGTGACCTGACCAGGGCCTGGGCCAGGAAGGAGCCAACATCTTTATTTGAAAAACAAAAAACTAGCAATCCTAGATCTCTCTCCAAAATTTCTTTCTTTTTTTTTTCTCTCCAAAATTTACTTGGAAAAAAATTACTTGACTTGCAAAATATGCCCATATATTTGGTGATGTACGTACAGGTTCTGCTTTAGGGCAAAAATTGATCAAGAAATTGGAATGCCTTCAGGTACGTGTGAAGTAGGCCAGGCCCCTGAGGGAGTGGTCTGCTCAGCAATAAGAAATCTTCATATTGAAGACTGCGTTGGTAGATAAAATATATTTGATTAATTGCCCAGGTGCTGCTATAATTTAAACACAGCCCACTTTACTAGACGTATTATTTAACCTTTTGGGCTATTTTAAATGCTAATAACCTGGGGAGAGGGAGCAGAGAAAGAGAGAGGAAGATCATTGAAGAAAATGACCTATGAAGTTCAGGTTTTATTGTAGTTTTTTTTGTCTTGTTTTTTGTTTGTTTGCTTGCTTGCTTGCTTGTTTAAGACACACAAAAAAACAAGAACTTCCAAGTTCAAATTTTGATGATTTAAAGAAGGGGTTTTTTGAGCTCACTACTTGACAAGTGGATTTGCTGCATATCAACTAAAACACTGGCATATAATCATGTTTGATCAAGTGTTTCACTGTTTTTTAGCATTTGATGAATACAGAAATATTAGCCAGAAGGACATTGAGGACAGCATCAAAGGAGAATTATCTGGACATTTTGAAGACCTACTGCTGGCCATCGGTAAGCTCTTCTGTGCTCCCAAACTGCGTTGCTTTGCACTTGATATAAACAACACCGGGGTTAGCTCCTCACAAGAATCCTGACTGATCCCTCTTTAGGCTCCCACCACGTCCACTTAACAACCTGCTCAACAGATGTTGATAAAGGGATGTATGAAAAAGTAACTTTTTTTGCATCTTCCTTTGCTTCAAACTTAGTATTTTTTGTGGGAGTTGGATAAGCCAAGGAGCATGATCGTTGGGGTTTGACAGGAGATGTGTTTGGCTCTGTCACCTCACTCTCAGGACAAGCTGGTAGGAAGGTGTTTCATGTTTTAGGGGCAGCTAGAGTTCAAGGGCCTGGGGGAGGGGAAAAGACTGACTGAAGTTTAGTCAAGACATCACAGGAGGTGAGGCATGGGCAACGGTGGCCTCGTGGTCACTGCAGTTCATTTCAGTGGGCTCCCTGCCTGTCAGAGGTTTCCCGGAGTTTTCCTACTTCCGAGCTTGGGTGCTAAAGCAAACTTTGTATCACTACGTCTAACAACACTTCCTAAGATTTCAGGGCACAAAGAACAAACCTGGTGGTTAAAACAGAAAGCAGAAGAAAAGCTAAAGGGTTATGAGGGCAGGGGGAAAGATTCTAGAAAGATTTAGTTTAGGGAGAGGGAGATGACTGAAAAGCTTACTAGGATAAAAGTGGGCATAACGACTTTTAATCAAAGTATTAAGGCTTGCTTAATATGAATTTTAGGAAAAAATAAATAGGTACAACTGATCCAAATGGCTGGTTTATTCTCAGAAAACTTCACATCTGACACTGTTTTCATATCTGCCCCAGATTCCACGTTTGAGTGTCTAATACATCCTCTCCTCCCCCTAATACCTCCCCATTTCCCTAAGTCAATTACACAGATGGAAGGCCTTTTCGGTTCCTTAAGAGAGCCAGAAAGGCACTCTGAGAAAGCTACTTACCCTTGTTCTGACCTCTAAGATTCAGTATAAAATGTACTCACTTTCATCAGATTCCAGTGCAGATCACATTTGCTGCTATAAAAGTACTCATGTTGCAATAAATAGATTTTTCTCTCTACCGACATTTCTATTCCTGATGATTTTCACTTTATTTAAACTATACTTATAATTTGCCCATGTTTTTGCCAATTTCTTTTTTTTGTTTTGTTTTACTTCTGCTTTACCTGTTATTTCAAAATAAAGAATTAAAAGATAGCAGTATTTTTTAGTAACTGAATCTAGAGACAGCCACTTAAGGGAAAAACCTTTCCTTTGGAAACACTAGTTTCAAAATGAGTTCCGGCACCTCTTCTTGCCTAATGAGCTATTTGGGCAACATCTCTTTACAGTCTTTAGGCCCACGGTATCCATCAGTAGTCAGAGCCCTTAGAAATGGAGCAGTGGCCCTCCCTGGGGAGTTAGCAGTGGAAGCGAAGATGTTGGTGTGTCTGAGATCTGGAGATGAGTCATGTGCTGTGAAAGTTCCTTTGGCAGGTGATTTTATTTTCCCCACGGCTAAAGACCGCCTCTGCTAACGTTCTGCGCAAATATAATGTTACAAGGCTTTGGAATCTAGGTTAACTATTCATTCTTTCATTCTAAATAAAAGCCAGAAGTGGGGAGGAAGTAAAATGGATATGAATTTGTTTGTTTTAACTCTTTATTGGCTGAAGTATTACATATAGTATTACACATGTCTCCTTTCCCCACCCTGGGTATGAATTGTTTTTCAAAACATTTTACTGTATATTAACTCAACTTCAACTTAAATGACAGTGAACATACTTTATTTTTTCTACAGTTCATTGTGCAAGGAACGTGCCTGCCTTTTTAGCTGAAAGACTGCATGGAGCTTTGAAGGTTGGTCTGGGAATTGCATACATGTTCTTAGCTTCCTCACGGAAAATGTAAAAACATGGCCATTACTGATGGAATTCCATTCCCTTTGATGGGCTCTCTTTTGTAGCTAATCTGTGCTGTGGATTGATCCTGAGTGTCCTAATCATCAGAGCGGTTGGTACAGTAAAATGTTGACTAAATTACTTCCCCCGGTTCACTGGCAATAGAACCTGTTTTAGAAACGTACCTCTTTTCATGGAGTTAACATTCTAATGAATAGAGATGGTCAGTAGAGAAAATTAACCAAGTGTTTAAATAAATACCAAGGAGAACTATGGAATGGCGTGTACACACCTCAAACCTGACCGCTGAGGTCCAGTGGCCTCTCCAGCCACCTTGCTTAAAATAGACCAAACCGAGTCAGCTGCCTTTCAGGGCAGAGAGACCCTCTGCTGCCTTGTCTGTTGCCCCTGCTAGACGGTGAGCTCCGTGAGCAGAGGACTTTGTTTTTCTCTTTTGTATCTTCAGACCCTAGCACTGGACCTTCCCATCCTTGTTCTCTGTGCCTCAGCCTCTTCAGCCTTTCTGTCCCTTGACTATGCCACATCTCTTCCCACTTCAGAGTCTGTACCTCCTCCGGGTCTACCTGTGATTGGCTCCTTCTCACCTGTCAGGTCTCTGCTCAGACGTCACCTCTTGAGAAAGGTCTTCCCTGACTACTCAGGTCAGTTGTCTCCCTTTTCTTCAGGTCAGTTGTCCCCCTTTTCTTCAGGTCAATTGTCCCCCTTTTCTTCAGGTCAATTGTCTCCCTTTTCGTCAGTCACATGCCATTCCATAGTTCTCCTTGGTATTTATTTAAACACTTGGTTAATTTTCTTTACTGACCGTCTCCATTCATTAGAATGTTAACTCCATGAAAAGAGATACGGTCTGTGTTGTTCACCATCATATGGGCAGTGCATGAAACAATGCCTGGCACGCAGGACACACTTAATGTACATTTGTTGAATAAATGAATTGTGTCCATGTAACTGCTCCGGAATTTTACAAGTCTCCCTCTCCGTCATTCTATGCATTTGATACATCCCGTTTTGTCATCTGCCCAATAAGCATCTCTTAAATAGACCCATTTTCTCCATCGCACCGCCATTTTTCTAGGTCAGGCCATCCACTTCTCTCTTGCATGTTAGTGCCAAAGCATCCAGTCTCATTCTGTTATCTTCATCCTCCTCCTGCCCCACACTCCATCCTCACACTGCTGCCAGAGACATCTTTGGGAAATGCAACTCTGCTCTGATCTCAGAGCTCTCCTGTTGAAAAGACTGCAGTAGTTCCTCACTCTTGGGATAAAGTCAGAACTTCATGTCATGGCTTATGAGGACCTGCCTTTCCAGACACCTCTCTTGCTGTACCTCTTCATTATTTATGTGTCCTTGAGTATGGCATTCCTTCTTGCTCTAACCTGTCACACTTGCTGTTTTCTCCATTGGAATGTCTTTTTTCCTCTTTTTGCGAACCCCACCCCTTCTCCTGTCTGGTTATTTAGGCCTTAGCTTATATACCAGTTTCTCAGACAGACTTTTTCTAATCCTTAATCTATTTTAGGCTCCCCTCATATGTGTGCCTTTAGTACCCAGTATTTCTTATATGTCACATGGCCTGTTTTCCTACCTGCATCCTTTGCAAAATTGGAAGTGTCCCATCTATGTTTTCAACATGAGGCATGGTACTGGCACAAAGTAAGCTGTCAATAAATATTTTTTAAACAAATGAATAATGAGGGTTGATGCTAAACGAGGGAAGGAGAGTCACCACGGTGGACTATTTTGTGCACCGTTGTGTGTTTCTTATAAATGTAGATTTATAGGCTGTTTTGTGGCTGATTTGTGCTGTGGATGTCTACCTCTCTTACCAGGGTGCTGGAACCGATGAGTTTACTCTGAACCGAATAATGGTCTCCAGATCAGAAATTGACCTTTTGGACATTCGAGCAGAGTTTAAGAAGCGTTGTGGCTATTCTCTATATTCAGCAATTAAAGTAAGTCTCTTCTTAAAAATAGCAAAATACATTTTGCCTTTCTGTCCCTATTCTCTTTCCCTTATAATACTTAGAACGTAGAGATATGTGACTTACACTTCTCTCTCTTTGTCAGTGGGTGTGTCGATGCGTAGTGGTAGCAAAACAGCCCTTAAACACGGAGACTGTTTTCGGCTCTAGAATCTCAGCCACATGATAGATACCCACTTTTTTTGTTGTTTTGTTTTTTTCTGTTTAGTGGCCACTAATTTTTCTTCTTTTTTGAATCGCATTTGCAAATTGTTTACCTACTTTTTTATATTGCACTGTTTTTATTTATTTTAGTGTTTCTTTATGAAAATGACAGGAAAGAAAACTACATAATTTAAATTACCTCTGTTTCACACAAAAGATAGCATGGTTCTGCACCTTGGAGTTCTTTCCATTACCGTATATTGGAAGCTTTCTCAGTCTTTTAAATAGCTGTGTATCATTCTATAACTTGTTTATTTATACCCACCACATCAACTGATGTTTCCAGTTTCTTGCTAATGCGAACAATGCTGCCATATGCATACAGTTTCCTAAGGTACAAGTGAATCTGTGGGATAAATTTGAGCAGTTTTTTCCTGAGATAAATTCTCAAAAGTGTGTAGGATTGCTGAGACAGATGTGAATATATTTGTAATTTTGGTAAACATTACCAGTTGACTTCCATCCATACTTCCATGAAGAATATATGAGTCCTTGTTTCTCGACAGCTTTGGCACAGAGGGTGTTTTCAAACTTTGGCTTTGTAAAATCTGATAGGTGAGAAATTGCATCTCAATTTATCTTTTTCTTAATATGAAGAAAGCCGAACATGTTTTCATGTTTTAAATGCCATTTGAATTTCCCTTCTGGTAATTTTTCATGTTACTTGCCCATTATTCTATTGAAATTTGGGTTTTAATTTTTTGAGGGGAGTGTCAATTTCTAAGATTTCTTTTTATGTATCTTAGATTGGTGAATGGCTTTGTCTATGAATTATAAATATTTCCCCAAGTTTGTTGTTTTTTTATTAACATGACTGAAGTTGTTTTTTTCATATTGTTATTCATATTGTTTTTCATATTGTTTTTCATATTGTTTTTTTCAAGTTGTTATTGACATGACTGAAGTTGTTTTTTTCATATTGTTTGGCACCAAATAGAATTCATCAATGTTTTATAGTTTCTTGATTTAAAAGAAAAAGTAATTCCTTACAGGCTATCATTCTGGATGAGAATCCTAAAATATGTTACACAACTTCCTTTCCGTTTTAAAGAATGAAACCAGTTTCCATTGTCTTTTAAATAGCTGTGTATCATTCTATAACTTGTTTATTTATACCCACCACATCAACTGATATTTCCAGTTTCTTGCTAATGCAATCTAAGTTGATATTATATATGTAGACAAACCCCAAATAAATGACAAATTATAAGGAAGTAAGACTTTCAAAAATTGTGTAAGAGGCTTCCATACATGGAGCTAATGGTAAAGCCACAGTCCCAATAAGAATATGACAACTTCGCTGAAACCGGTTTGGCTCAGTGGATAGAGCATCAGCCTGCGAACTGAGAGGTCCCAGGTTTGATTCTAGTCAAGCGCATGTACCTCAGTTGTGGGCACATCCCCAGTAGGGGGTGTGCAGGAGGCAGCTGATCGATGTTTCTCTCTCATCGATGTTTTTGACTTTCTATCCCTCTCCCTTCCTCTCTGTAAAAAATCAATAAAATATTTTTTTTAAAAAACAAAAATGATGGTAAATGTAAAAGAAAAAAAAAAAGAATATGACAACTTGGAAACGATGAACAAAGGGCCATTGAAGATTGTTCTCTATGTCAGCTTCCAAGATGGCATGCAGGCATGAGTGGTAGAGAGGGGTGGTCAAGGCTGGGTTCCTGAACAAAATGGGAGCCCAAGTTGAAGAAAAAGCCATCACATTGTCCCAACCTCCAGAGTCACTGGCTGCTGCAAAGATGGAGCTCAGGGCTGGCTTCACAGACGTCTTCCAGGTCTCTCTGTGCCTCAGCTTCCTCCACCTAACAGCTGTCTAGAAAAATCAGCTTTGGCAATCATTAGCCCAGACATGGATCTCGATCAATGAAGGGTCACTGAGGCCCGAGCTCGGAGGTGGCACCCAGAAAACAAACCTAGTCTGAGAGAAAGACATAATTTGCTCTGAGTACAGAGTCGAGTGTGGAGTCTGAGCTGTTCAGACATCTGGGGCCCAGCTATAGGATCACTTTATGAGCCCTGTGGATTCTGATCCTGGGACCAACCTCCCTCAAGCCTCTCTTCAAGGCTGGAGTCCCATGCCATGCAGGAGATGACATCCAGTTGCCCCCCAAGGACTCCTCCATTCTGTCCGCATTCCTATGTCACCAGGAACAGCTGAAGCCATAGCCCAGCCTTTGAAATGGCCCTGCCCAGCAAAGCTTCCCTCCACCAGGCTCTGGCCTTCAGGCAGCCATCCTGAGAACTCTCTGGCCTCAGGCTCCACAAATGGTGTTACTGTGGATGCATGAATGAACATCACTCAGTCAACTGGAGTCTTAAATCAAAACTCCCCACCCTATTCTTTTGTTCCAGCTAGAGCTTTTGCTTTTTACTAAACCTTTGCAGAAAGAGACGCATGCCTAAGTTGAAATCGGAAACTTACTCAAAAAGCCAACTCTCAGACTGTGCCTGGGGCTTAGCACAGATTTCATCAGCTGCTCACACTCAATGCAATTTGAATCGATCCTGACACATTACAATCTTTTCAATCAACAGAGGAAGATTCAATAACGTTAACCATATTGTTCTTACTAAGGCAGAAAAGTAGACGCGTAACTTTTACAAAGGTTGTCAGTAACAAGATTGAAACATAAAGAGGGCTCTCGGTTCACCCTCAGCAAACCGGAAAATTAAATTAAGCCATAGCTCTCCTTCCCGCAGTGGTCTGGGTAATTGAGGCTGATTATATTAGGAAACATTTAAATTATGAGTATCTTGATAGAAAATAAAAATTCATTGCGGAAGAGTTCAGTTTGTAATTTAAAATTATGTAAGGTGTCTTCATTTCTACCACCTGAAAGTACATTATTAGGCAATATCATTACATTTTCACTACTAATGAATAAGACCCTTTCAGATGATTCCATTTCTGTCATTCAGAAGCTAGAATTTCATTTTGTATATTGTCAAGGAGGAAAAAAGTTTCACCTGGTCTAATCATTAAATCTACATGGGACATATTAATAAGAGAAAATAACCAAATTTAACTGCATATGTGTGCATGGGAACCCCACTGAGAGAGTAAGAAACCTCACATACAGGAGAGGCTGAGGGATAGAAAGGTAAAATGAGCTATATCTGACTAACTCCTGGTCATATATGAGGTGAGATGCCAAGAGGTTCAGAGGGTCACTGCAAGATGATAAGAAGAACAGAGTTCAATAATTTCTAGTTTGCTCTGCCTTATAGATAGGTCAGAAAGGTTATCTCTGATAAGCTCTCATTATGGGCAAAACCCCCAATTCAAATTCTTCTCGGTAATTAAGGGAGGAGGGCAGAAGTTTCTCTGTTGCCTTTAGTTTAAAATAATTTGCTTCCCACAGAGGCACATTTTGGGATGACTCATTCTGAACCTACAATATCAGCCTGGCCTTTAGTTCTGTCTTCCTCTTCCTTCTGCCTATTATTTAGACATTTTTCTGCTCATTAACACCTTTCTCATGTGATGATTGGTGGGGAGAAGGAGAGAAAGACACGTAGGTAAAAAAAAAAAATGTGTGTCTCTTATTCATTAATAATAAAAAATTAAGAGCATATTTGGATGGAATTGCATTTTTGGTAGATGTCCTTGATCAACAGATTAAGTACCTATTTAACAAATAGTGCAAGTCCAGGCTCTTTAAGGGAAAGCATAGTAGTCACCTTCAATTTATAATCTGTGTGAAGTGAGGTGGGCATAAATAAAATAATGAAAAGATAATAATATGAAACAACATACAATTAAATACTTGATTGTAGAGAGGAGAGTACTATAGGAATTGAGAGTAAAACAAGTTTGAGATTAGATAGGGAAATGGGTTTGACCCTATCTTTCAGGCTAATAAGCATGTGTTGATTGCCTCCTAGGAGTCAGGAGGTATGCTGGTCAGTGGGTTCTCACAAGTGAAAGCTCTAGAAACATGTATGGTGAGAAGTTTGAGGGAAATAAGGAATAAGTCACTTGAATTATTAGGAGGTCTACTTTGGGGAGTATTGAAAAGTAAAATCCAAATAGCAAGATGAATTCAGTTGAAAGAGAACTCTGAGATCATGGAATTTGCATTTCATTTATTCAATTAGAAATATTTTCTGAATGAGAATTATGTGCCAAGCTCAGGATTACAATTATAGGCAAAGGAAAAAAGTTTCCTGTCCTTATGGAATTACAAGTAAATGTAAAATTTGTTTATACAACTATGCTAAATGGAAAGGAAAGGAATATTGTGATATGAGACCATATAATAAGAGGATTTGACCTATAGGAACGTTTGCTTCAGATCTGAAAGGCAGAGGTTGTGTGTGTTGGGAGAAAGCAGAGCATTCTAACAAAAGGAGTCACAAGTGAAAAGCCCTAATGTTGGAGGAAAAACAATGAAAAATGAGGCTGAGGGACCAAGTCTTAGGGGATCTTTTTGACAATCTTTAAAGATTTTGGGAAGCCACTGAAGAATTTTCATTTTAACACATAATGTCATAATTAGAAGTACACTTTGAAAAGATCCCTGAGCCAAAACCGGTTTGGCTCAGTGGACAGAGCGTCGGTCTGTGACTGAAAGGTCCCAGGTTCAATTCTGGTCAACGGCATGTACATTGGTTGTGGGCACATCCCCAGTAGGGAGTGTTCAAGAGGGAGCTGGTCAATGTTTCTCTCTCATAGAAGTTTCTAGCTATCTATCCCTCTCTCTTCCGCTCTGTAAAAAATCAATAAAATATATCTTTAAAAAGAAAAGAAAAGATCCTCAAGACTGTGATGAATTAGACAGAAGATAGAAGAGGTTTGGAGGGATAAGTTATTATACTGGACATATGAGAGTAGCTATGACCTGGTAGTGCAAAGTAGTAAGCAAAGCTACTGGCAATGCAAAGAGAGGAAAGAGCAAAGACTTCAGAGACATTTAGGAGTTAAAATTATGTCACTTGGTGTGAGGAGCAAAAAAGAGAGATGTCAAGGATGACTCCCAGGTTCCTAACTTGGGAAGCAAATAGTTGTGCCATTCCCTGCAAAGGTCGGGTTTTAGGTGTCCGGCTTTCCTGTTGGTGTTTGTTTATTTATTTGTTTGTTTGTTCATTTGTTTGTTTCTGGGAGTGGAGGAGAAAGTGCAGAGGTTTGGTTTTGCACATGTTGAATTTGAGATGTCTTTGAGCTGTAAATGGAGATGACAAGTCAGTAAGCTAATATAAGATATATTTTCAGGGTCAATTACGTTATTAAACCTTGGACATGGATAAAAATCCTCTAGGAAAGAGGATATAGAAAATACAGATTGAGCCAAAACCGGTTTGGCTCAGTGGATAGAGCATCAGTCTGTGGACTGAAAGGTCCTGGGTTCGATTCCAGTCAAGGGCATGTACATTGGTTGTGGGCACATCTCCAGTAGTGGGTGCGCAGGCGGCAGCTAGTTGATGTTTCTCTCTCATCAATGTTTCTGGCTCTCTATCCCTCTCCCTTCCTCTCTGTAAAAAATCAATAAATATATTTAAAAAAAGAAAATACAGATTGAGAAGAGAAGAAAGCTGAGAACAGATTTAAGTATTACTAATAATGGGTGGCTGGATCAAAGAAGACAAAGGTGGAGCTGCCAAAAAGGAGGGAGGAAAAGCCTGGGCTCCTTACAGGGCTCCCTGCTGTGCATATGGCGGTGACTGGACTAGCTTTACAAAGCAGAAGAAGGATAACTTGTGGTTTCTTTGGCTCTAAATGTGTGAATCATTTAGATGAGAGTGACAAGAGATGAGAGCCAGAGTAGGTTTGTTGTGGTCAGGATGGAAAAAAGGGAACTTAAGAAACACCACAGGGTTTAATTGGGAAGCCAGATTAAATGTAAAGAGTAAAAGATGTAATCAAAGTTGGGAGAAGAGAGGACCTCTGTTAAAAACAGGCCAACAGAAACATTTAGTTATTTATCTAAAGAAATCAATATTATTTAAAACATTTAGTCATTATAAAATTTGATTTCAGTAAGGAAATGAAGAGGGGAAAAGAGAGAGATTAATGATGAGAATCATTGATTGGTTGCCTCCTACATGCTCCCTACTGTGGATTGAGCCTGGGCATGTGCCCTTGACCAAAATCGAACCGGGGACCCTTCAGTCTGTAGGCTAACACTCTTTTCCACTGAGCCAAACTGGCTAGGACAATTAGCTTCTTAAGAACAATTAATATGGCCTAATTAGGAAAGCATGAATTATGTCCACAGGTTTTAAAATTACACTAATTTCAAATTAGTATAAATTTTTTGTGTGATAAAATTTCTAAAATACCATATAAATAGAATAGCTATTTTACTAAAAGACATAGGGAATAGAGATAGGAATAAAGGATGATTATTTGTTTAGTGTCTATGGTGGATCAGAAAGGTTTGTTTGTTTGTTTGTTTGTTTTAAATATATTTTATTGATTTTTTTTTACAGAGAGGAAAAGAGAGGGATAGAGAGTTAGAAACATTGATGAGAGAGAATCACCAATCAGCTGTCTCTTGCACACCCCCTACTGGGGATGTGCCCGCAACCAAGGTACATGCCCTTGACCAGAATCGAACCCAGGACCTTCCAGTCCACAGGCTGGCGCTCTATCCACTGAGTCAAACCGGTTTCGGCTTGGTTTGTTTTTTTAATCCCAAATCTCAGTATTTCATTGTAGACTTACAAAGACAGGACTATATAGTCTGCATAATTTTACTTAATATCTCTGCTATACCACGGCTCCCCTGTTTTATAGCAGCACCCTCTGAAACATATAGCATCCTTGATTGTTGTGCAAAGGGAAGAAATATAAAAAATATAAGCAAGCAGATGGAATTCAGTTGAGCAACAGATATTTTTCAATGCTTCTCAAATATATCAGAGATGTTTAATTGATAGTACAGGGATCATATTACTCTTTAAAATCTGTACTTTCAGTTTCTTTTCTGCTTTCCCCCCTTTATTGTTGAGAGTATTACAGATGTCCCCTTTGTTTTTCCTATTGACGCCCTCCACCCCATATCCATCCCTCTCAGGCCTTCACCACTCTGTTGTCTGTGTCCATATATGCATGTAAGTTCCCTGTTAATCCCTCCCCACCAGAAAATATCTGTGTGCTAAGCTACTTGGATGTATTTTCTCAACTAACTGAGAGAACCCCTAATAATTCTTACCACTTTGTGATTAGAGGGAGTTGTTTTAATGCCAAACTAGAGCAGTACTGACTTGTCAGCAGTTTGAGAAATTATTACCTATGGCAGAGCAAGACTTAAGAAAATCAATAAGGGAAGAACTAAAAACTGTATTAAAAAAGGATGTATGTTGTGTCTTATAAAAATAATTGCTTAACTTTTTTTTCTAAATAGCCTTTCTTCATTGCTTCTTTTGCATTAACTACTACTTAATATTCACTCCAATGTGAAACTTAAATGATAACAAATGCTCATCATTTGAGTTGCCTTGAATAAAATAAGAATAATGTGAGGTTTTTATGCAATTTAGGTTCAAAGACAAGTTTTGCCTCCAATGCTGTGCAAACATTTTTTACCTTCTTTGCATAGTAAACATTGCATCTTAGTATTTTAAGCCTCAATCTCATATAGTATGTTTTCTGAATCAAGATCTTTTTGGCTAGTCTAGGGGAAAGGAAATCAGAAATATACTTTTTGGAGATGTAGTTCATTTTACTTTCTTAAGTATATAGTGTTAAGGAGCCAGGAGATCGGGGTTTAAATTCTGCTTCTGTCGCTCATGATATGATTTGGCACAAGGTTTCTAGCCTCTCTTTTTCTCATCTTACTGATGTGTTAAATGGAGATACCTATGAACCTACTGCTTAGAGTTCTCCTAAGGGTTAAAGTGATTGGTAATTATTTATTTACTAAGCATTTGGTAAATAATATATATTACTAAAACTATACAGTAGGTCCTCGGGTTATATCAGAGATCCGGAACCCACCTCCATAAGCACCTACGTCACTCACATGGAGCACATACACAGCAGTAATGAAGTGAGACAGTAAAAAAAAAAAAAAAAAAAAAAAAAAAAAAAAAAAAAAAAAGTAAAAGAAAGATAACAATTCCTGACCTTTACTTGTGTCAAATAAATAATAAAAAGCATAAAGTACATATGTACATACGTCAAAATGATGAAACTTTTATTTTTTTAGAAATAAATGGGAGATGGCGTCGTAACCACAAAATAATGTACATTAAGTCCGACGTAACCCAAAGACTGCCTGTAATTTTTAAAGTTTTGCTTAAAACTTAATATTATGTAACATTGCATAATTGATGAAAAACATTTTATTAAACCCAAATTGAAATGTAATTGAATTCTATCAGGAAGAGTTTAAACAATATTGTGAAAAAGGCTGAACAATAACTACAATCAGGTATGAATGGATGATAGCATTACAGGTGCATTTTACTAAATGGTACAGGTCACGAATCTCGCACCCCGGTGAATCCCCCAGTGCTACGAGACTTGGTTCCTTTACGGTCCCCTCATTATTCATGCTGCGCCTTGTCCTTCTCTCCTTCCTGTGCATTGCAGTCGGACACTTCTGGAGATTACGAAGCCGCACTCTTGAAGCTCTGTGGAGGAGATGACTGAGCCACGCACGTCGTCTGCGAAGGTTGTCTGCTTCCATGATGGGCTTTTCCAACAGCTCTGCTCACTTCTTTCTCTCGTGTTTACAAGTACAAGAAAGTCCAGACAGCAGCCTGTTTTCCTAACAAATTTCCATTGTTCCATAACAGCAATAACGACACAATTATTTTAGAGCATCTCATCATACATCACGTAGCAGTTTATGAACGAAAATGTAAAATGATGTGAAGTATCTCCTAATACTATCTAACTATATTGTTCATGAAGTGAGGATCTTTATACAGTTCTAAAATATCAAATGCAAAGTAGGATAATAAAAATTGTTGCCGTTGTTAAATTGTCTGTTTCTAGCATCTACTGACATTGTTGGTACCTGGTGCCAACAACTAATTATATTTTATAACACGCTTTTGTTACAGAAGCTGTTGTTGCATCAATCTATCTATTACCGTATTAATCACATCCATCTTTAAGAAAAGGAATAAAAATGAAGATGTATGTGATCCTGCCTATCCTTTCTAGTCATGATCAAGCCACATGAGTGGCAATGTGTAATAAGTTATTTAGCCGTCAGAAAGCATCTGTGAAACTATTAATCTAGCCACTTCCTGTCTGAATGGCAAGCATAAATTGGGGTTATTTTACACTAAATACTGCTTTAGCAGAATCAGGTCTATAAGTTTTCCTTTTCCTCTAAAATAACTTTGCAAAACCATGCATTTTTAAAATCCCTCATGTTATCTTTGAAAGGGACCTACCATGAAATATCTTGACCAACATGAAATATCTGAGGTAAAAAATTCCAGTTGGAGTTATTAGTCTGGATTAGACAGAAATGATAGATGTGTGAGAAATAAAAACAGTGAGGTGTGGGTTCAGAAGTTATCTCTTGTCCTGGAATTTCCAAATTGCATAAAAGGGGGAAAAGTGTAGGGAATTAGAGTCTTACACACATGGTTTTGACTTCCTGCCCTACTGTGTACCAGCTCTGTGACCCTGGCAACTAAACCCTGCTAACCTAAAGTTTCCTCATCTGTAAAATGGTGATAATCATAGCGCCTGTCTCTTAAAGATTAAGTAAGGAAGCCCTGGCAGATGTGACTCAGTTGGCGCATTGTCCCATACACCATTTATTCTGAGAGTTCTTATACTGATAAGTGCTTGAAACAAAACATAGTTATGTGCTAATATTACTCTATTTTACAGATGATAAAAATGAGACTCAGAAAGGTTAGGTTACTAGCCCAAGGTTGCAGAGCAGGAGAGCCAAGGATTTAAAATCCAGGTCAGTGTGTACTATCTGTGTCTGAGTAAGCCTGAGGAGGGTGAGAATGAAGGAAGTGAAGATCACTTGAGATGATTCTCCATGTAGAAAGCAGCATGGTACTAATAAGAAAAGGCTCCAAGGAAAGCCTTCTTCCTTCAAGCTTTTTATTCTTATTCTTCTTTGCATCATACACATTGCACCAGCTAGTAACTACTGAAAGTATATTTCTAATGATTCTGATGGAACACAGCTAACTCAAGATCCACAGAACTACAATACTTACTTAAATATTTAAATTCTAGAATGAGAGGGGTAATATAGGCACAGGGCAGTGCCAGCATGGGCCTTAACTGATCTAGGCAGCATGTCCCCAAGTTATTTTACTTTAGGCAAGTTATTTTACTTTGCTATTTTCTCCTTTAAAATTGGAACAGTAATAGCTTACAAGTAGTTACTTTGATAATTAAATTTGAAAACAAAATATGTTCAAAATAATGCATACCATATAGTAAGCCCTTAATAAATGTTAACCTAGATCAGTGATTTTTCAACCAATGTGTCACAATAATTTTTTAAAACAAGCAATACCTGAGCATTTATTCAGGGGCACTGACCACTTTTCCTTTTGATTGTCAAATAAAAAATGAAAACAGCCAACACAATAGCTGTCCAGTGTGAATGAATCAAAATTATACCTAGGTATTATTTTTGTCAGATTGGCAAAAAAAAAATGTTTTTTGGTGTGTGACAGAATTTTAGAATTTAGTTGATATGTGCCATGAGATGAAAAAGGAAAATTGCTGGCTTAGGTCATATTGCTGCCATTTATTATTCAAGGGACATGGTTTTTATTGCCTCCAATTTCCACAAGGTGGCAGGTTGAGTTCAAAGTGGACCTCAGGACTCTGTATCCCAAAGGCTAAAACCTACTTACTTGACTTGTTTCTGAATAACTGGCCAGATATGAACTGTTTGGGAAACAATCTCCACTATTTTGTCCATCCATAGGATGTCTTTCAGGCACCTTATTGTTGGGATAAAATCCTTCTTAATAGAACATATGAACCACTTCACTTAACCCTTTTGTTTCTCACCATCTACACTTACATGAAACCTATACGGAAAACTTCTCCGTAGATCACCCGCCTAAGTGAGTACTTTTAAGTCATCTCTTTACTCACTAAGTTTAGTCCCTGTAGACTGTGAAGGAGGAGGAATTAGCAAACTGGAAAGAGTCCTGGATTCTGTGTGAGGTGAAATGCAACAGGCAGGAGATTTGCATACCTCGTTCTAGAGTGATGGGATGTTGGTTTAGTCATTAGGAACCACAGAAGTGACAAATGAAGATATTGAATGGGAGACTCTCTAGCCTATTTATAAGGGCATATTGAAGGGCAATTTTTTTAATTTTATTTATTTACCTGATAATAACAGCTCTTACCTAAAGAGTTCTTGTGAGGATTAAATGAAACAAAACATATGAAGAATGTAACTCAATCAAAAGTAGTTACTGGTCACTGCATTGGCATAGTTTTGCCTAGTGAGTAGGAGATAGTTTTCCATAAGCATTTGCAGAATAAATAAATGATGTACTATATGGTGATAGTAACTCTAAGACTGGCCTTGGAAGTCTTCAAAAAATACGCACTGAAATCAGTGTTGTCAAAAAAAATGTGTCCTCTAACAATGGGAATCACAGGTGTGCACTTGAGTGGTCAGGTGAGCAGGATCTGAAAACAGGTTCCCTCCATTTACTTCCTGCCCACCACATGGGGGTGAGCAACCTACTCAATCTTTGTGTGCCTCAGTCTCCTTATCTGTAAGGCCAGGGTGGCGATAGAATGTATTGTTCTGATTCTGATAGGGGTGAGGTTTCAATAAGTTGGTTTAGGCCAGTGGTCGGCAAACTCATTAATCAACAGAGCCAAATATCAACAGTACAACTTTGAAAAGATTGAAATTTCTTTTGAGAACCAAATTTTTTTAACTTAAACATCTAACGCTACTTCTTCAAAATAGGCTCGCCCAGGCCGTGGTATTTTGTGGAAGAGCCACACTCAAGGGGCCAAAGAACCGCATGTGGCTCGCAAGCCGCAGTTTGCCGATCACAGGTTTAGGCAAAGCTCTTAGCAAAGGGCCTCCCGTCCTCTAAGTGCTCAACAAATGTCAGCTGTAATTCTTTGGCTCAGTTTGGAAGAGTTACAATTGCTTATCCTCAATTCACTTGGGGGTTTGGGGGATGTTGTAAAGTGAACCCTTCCAGTTTGTAGTTAGGAGAGATGGTAAAGCAGATCTCCTGGTAATTTCCTGTCTATGAAACCTGAGTTTTATGAACCACGGAAAGTACCCTGGATTTCTTTTCAACCCACCCCCTCACCCCCAACAAACTGAAAAACGCTGGTCTTTCACACCCACTTGCTGTGCATCTCCCGTGGGACTCTGAAATCAAAGCAAGTATGAGTTGCTTTGTGCTCAAGCAATTTATTAGTGGGATGTTTCCTGCAGTCTCTACACACTCAGCTTCATGCCAGTTTTATCTCCCAGAGGGTCAGCCCTGCTCAGAGGCCGAAGTTTGCCTGCTTCCATGGATTTTATAGTCCAAGGTGGGAGAGAGGATATCAAATGGGCAGGAGTCCCACTGAATGGTGGCTGCAGTAAACTGAAAAAAAAAATCCCAAACCCCCAACCCAAGCCACAAAAACAGCCCATTCACCTGTATGCGTTTTGTGTGTGTGTGTGTGTGTGTGTGTCTATTTTAGATTTTTATTTCAGAGTGAGGAGAAGGAGAGATAGAAACATCAATGATGAGAGAGAATCATTGATTGGCTGCCTCCTGCACGCCCCACACTTGGGATCAAGCTCACAACCTGGGCTCATGCCCTGACCAAAAATTGAACCGTCACCTCCTTGTTTGTAGGTCAATGCTCAACCACTGAGCCATGCTGGCCGGGCTCAGCTGTATGCGTTTTAAAACACAGCCATGCACTAGGGAAAATGTGCCCTCAGAAGTCATCTTTAGCACAAGCTCTGTGGGACTGGATGTGGCAGTAACAGCCAAAGGCCAGGAGGTGCAGAGCTCTGAGCATGCGCTAGAGTAACAAGTGACACAATATCAGGCAAAAAGAACTTTGTAAAAGGACATTGAGATCAAATCAGCTCCTCCAGAAAGGAGCAGGCACCCTGGGTAGGAGGTGGGAGAACAAATTCCCCAGGTGGGAAGCGGGTGGAAATGAACCACATTCTCCTCCCTTCAGAGAACTGAAAGTCAACCAGAGCATGGCGGCCTCTGTTGGTGCTCAGCCAATTTCCTCGCGTGGAGTTTAGAGATGGCCAATGTGAAAACCTTAAACAACTTGTTTTGTTTTGCATTGGAGACCTAAGTCTACAAAGAACAACCCAGATCACACACTGCACATTCTAGGTAAACGGGTTAACTGATCTCTTCCTGCAAAATATCTTCTCGGTTGCTCTTGGTCAAACCAACTCCTTGAATCCTTTATTCTTTCAAACAGTTATTGTCTGGTTACCAAGGTCCAGGATCTGTGCTCAGTGCTGGGGTGTGAAGATGAATAAAGCAACACATTTCCTAATTTTAAGGAGTTGATATTCTAGAGAATGAAGAAGGGAAAATGAAGACATACCTGGCTAATTAGCAAAGGGAGCAAGGTGGGGGGAGAGGTGATGATGATGGAGGTTGTGGTGATGGTGAGTAGATTTGTGGTTCAGGCAGGCCTGG